CATGTGCTACGCCTTTTGAGTTGACGTGCCCCGAAAAACTATACACGGAGCTTGGAGGGCTTCACCGAAAATGAATGAATTCACCTGGTTCCGGTCTCCAGGCCCATACTTCTCCTCTTCTTAGCACTGATAAATGCTCCATCATGTCTCAGAAGCCACGTGCCAGTCATCAAGAACTTGCGAAGACAGTCCTGCTTCTGGGGTTTTGTCAGACCGTCTGCAAGCTGCCGGTCTGAATCCGTCCAAAGCAATGTTGTATCTTGTTCACGCAGATGCTGGGACAGTGCTTGGAGCTCTAGTGCCGTATATTTATCTCGCATCGAATACCCTGAGCTCGCGATTTCGCCCTTTTCCATGGTGTCGTAGAGGGCTTTTGCGTCGATGAGCAAAATGGTTCTCACTTTCTTCGTAGTTGAAGCCGGTGATGCCAAGTCAATCTGATCTCCGAGCAGTTCTCTCCACTCCAACCTCGTGAACATCACTTCTTGCTCGAGGTCAGCAAGGGCCTGGGCCTCCGCTGCTAGCGACGAGCGTGCTACTCGTGCTAACTTGCTGCACCGCCAGGCCAATGGATTGACACGCCCTTCTCCTCGAGCCACGGCTGTCGGGGACATAAAGCCGAACAAATAGCCACCAGTCGAGCCGCCGTCTGGCCGATTGGCAAGAGCGGCGTCGCTCCAACCCACCAGAATCATATCCTCAGCGGCGCAGGACAACCGCTGCACCTTCGTGGTCACGTTCTTGTTCGCGTGCACCTCGCGGACCAATTTATTCAGGTTCTCGATGATCTCGGGACTTCGTGAGGACAAAGAGCTCTGCAGAAGTGACAGTTTTGAAGCATGTTGAGGTGCCGTTTGGGTGACTCTCCACTGGATAGCCCCCATTATGGCACGAGCCTGCGTCACTTCCTTATCGTTCAAGGGTGAATCATCACCTTTCTTTCTAGCCGCCATCTGGGCGATGTCCTTGCAGAACTCGGAGTGGTTCAGGTCGATGGATCCATCCTCCCACTGTTGGAGTCTCACTCCGCAGTGCTGGAAGTCCTCGACTTCCCAGGGAGACCATTGATACGCAGCATGAATTTTGTGGAGGAAGTTCACCCACGTAGAGCTCTGTTCATCTCCAAGGAAGAGCACGTCATCCACGTGCGTTCCTAGAACGCCAACGACAACGTCATTCTCGGAGACCACCCAAACACACGGGTCTGTCTGGCATCTTCTTGCACCCAGGTCCCGCACGGTGGAATCGAAATCGACATACCATTCTCGAGGTGCAGTGGTGAGGCCATAGGCGGATTTCATCACCTCGACCATGTCTTCGGGGGCCAGTCCCATCTCCACTGCTAGTTCCTCCACGGGTCGAGCGAACAATGGAGAAACTCGTTCTGGCGACATGGCCTGAAGAAAAGCGGTTTTCACATCTCCGCTCATGATTCGCCATCCCTTCTGGACACCGAGGTTCAACACCAACTGCCGTGACAGACGACTCATTGCTGGGCTGCTCGTAGGATTCTCTAGCAAATTCGGGTCGGAATATCCGAGCAGAACCAACCGGGCCTTGGCCTTCATCTTGTTGGGCATTTCGTCCTTGGCCGTCTTAAAGGTCAATACCCATCTCATCTTCAAGGCCTGATCCGGAGAGATCCCCGGAATAGCCTTTCTCACCACATCATTGGCGATCCAGCTCTTCACCTCAGCCTGCTTCGCCTCCTGCATCGCCACGCGTTGTGTGGGAGACAATCTCGCCCAGGAAACTTCCACCCCCTTGTGAACTTGCTTTGACAGGAACTTGGAGGGGTCCTTGATAATCTTCCTCCAGCCAATGTCATCCGCCGGAACATCCACGATCACCGAAAAGATGTCCTGGATCATCTCAAAGTCCTCCACCGCCAAGTTCACATTGGCAGCGTTTTGAACATGCCACGGGCGATCTTCTTGTTCATGTCGTGCTCGCTGGGCTCGGAAATCATTTCCAGCACCTCGATCCGGCAGTGCCTCCGGCCAGTAGCCTGGGTCATTCAGCAACCGGTCCACATCGATCTCTGGCTCTTCCATAGGGTCTTCCCTTCCATCAGGATCACCTTCGCGAGCTCGTTTCATCTTGGCATCAGGAATCATTTCCTCTTCTGAGTCAAAGGTAGCTGCATCGGGCCTTCGATGGACTGGAGGTCGTGCCTGTCGAGGTTCTAGGGACGCTCGGGCCTGCCGTCGACGTAGCTTATGGGGTACTGAAGCAACCCCATACTTCCTCCTTGGTCGGGTCTCGTCATCGTAGGCACCTTTGTTCAACAGTGACGTCAAACTTGAAAGGGTCCACGGCATAGTGACCACATCAGTGGATTCGGCAATGAGGCGCTCGGCCTCACTGCAATGGCGCACCTGATTCACATGGAACTTCTTCAGACGTCCATTGCAGATCGCCCAGAGATAGCTACTGGGTTTGCGATGCCCTTGCTCTTTCTTTGTCTCGCAAGCCAGCACCCTCCCTGGTCCAAACCAGCGTGCCGTTGTCAACCTTGGCCGATCCACAAGGTTGTTGGAGGGTCGGTCACTAGGATGTTGGACTCGACGGTAGTAAATCAAATCTCCGGGCAGGTACTGGGTGATTTTCCGCACCTTGGAATTCAGGGCCCGGCTCGCTTGCGCCTTAGCCTTGTACTCTAGGAAACCCTTCTCGGCAGCCAAACGTAGGTTGTGGACGTCATGCCACCGTGTTCCTGGCGTTGCCTTCGATTCCTCTGTTGGAACTTCATGAGCTCCTTCAAAAAGTCGTTGTCCTGGGGTCCATTCTCTTCCCAGGGCCCACTGCAATGGCGAGTATCCATGCACCCTCGCCATCGAGTTGTGGGCGGTGACCATAGCCAGAGCTGCTTGGCCAGGGGTTCCAGGATTTCCTCTCAAAAACGTCTCCACCCGATGTCGTAGCACACCAATGCTGCGCTCTACCTCTGCAATACTGTCATGGTGCTCCGCTGGAGCTGGTATCAACTCCACTCCATTTTCTGCGCAGAGGTTGTTGAGCTCATGAGATCGAAGGGCGCCCTCTAAATCACATTTGAGGGTATCAGGGAATCCAAAATATTGGATCCATCCTTCCATGATGGCCTTCACTGCCTCCTCTCCCGTCATGTTCCGACCTTCGGTTTCATGATGGTGGAACAACTCCCTGATTACGGCATAGGAAGAGGCCTCATCAACCATCAGGAGAAAGTGATGCACCTGGTCGCCGACTCTCAGATAGAAAGCATCCACCTGAACACAGGCCCACAACCTTTCTTCTTTGTCCAGGTTGACGATCGGACCAGGCAACTTAATCTTAGACTCCTGACACTCATCACACTGAAGCTGAGATGCAATGGCCACAAGTCGAGGATCGGCATTCCTCGCTTGTAAATTCTTGACCAGGAGGTGGATGGCCAAATCGTCGATGAAGTCGCCGGACATGTTCTGTTGCCTTGGCCAGCTCCTGGGTAGTGAGGGTGTTGAGGCACTCCAAATCCACGGCGTAGACAGAGTGGTCGGTGGAAGTCCACAACATAGGTCGGGCTTGTACTGTTCGATAGATATCCTCCTTCCAAATTTCTTCGTCATCCTCGAGGTTCTCATTCACGGAGTTCATCACGGCCTTGTTGTTGGAATAGATCATCGCCTTGGGTCCCAGACGTCGAGGAGGTCCATGTCCATGAACCCGCCAAAATTCTCGTACCTCTCGAGGAAAACATACTTGGTCACAGGAGTTCGACACCCACAGTACATCCCCGCCTTGTTGTAGCTGTTGTAGACTGACTTTCATCATGTTCCTCAAGAGACGCCTGCTCCGTTGAACCTTATCTCCAGGCACCTCAGGGTCCAGAGTCTTCAGCACCGAAGGTGGCACACAGCACCATAGCCACTGAGGTCTTCGTCGTTGAACCATCTGAAGAGTTCTCTCGAGGCCTTTCTTGGAGACCAGATCACACCCATTGTTCAAGCCGGCCACCTCGACGTTCCAAGCAGCCTGGTCGAGATAGCTGTGGATCTTCTCATCGTGTGCCCAGGAAGAGCACACCTGAAGCACCTCCAAGCGACTCCCCTTAGGGTAAACTCCCAGGATGGCCTCAACTTCTTCCTCCACCTCGTGCAGCGTCAGCAGGATATCCTCCTGCTCTTCCAAAGTGAGGATCTCTTCATTCGGTTTGTCCCCGGTCTCCAAGGTTTCCACTGCATCCCAGGCAGTCTCTCCTTTGGTGATCGAAGCCTTGGAGGGGATAACGAAACCGGCTTCCTTCAATTGGTGTCGGAGATCTGGATCAGCCCTGTCGAGGGTGCGCGCTGTATGCGCTGTCACAGAAAACCGATCTCCAGTCCACGCTCGGACCGAGTGGTATCTCTTGGGGTCGAAGACAAAAGGCTTCATCCGAAGATCTTGATAGACACCTGGAACTCGAGGTCCATGAGGAAGGGTTTGCCAATGTAGAGGATGGCCTTCTCCTGGATCATCCGGAGGTACTTGGAGCCACAGTTCTCCTCCTTGGTAACGTCCAAACCCACACGTTATATTCATCGAGGCTGGTTGATTCTGCCGGTCCAGGTGAGTCCTCGCTCGAGTGTTCACATTGACTGTTAACGACGTCCAGGTTAGTTGCTGACCAGGAAACCATTGCCCGACACACAAATTGATGTAGCGGCACAGCTCGGGATATGCCTCGGTGGCCTTTGTAATGCCAAAGAGGGCTCCATAGGCATACAAGCCAAAGTTGAGGGCGAAGGCCTCCTTGTTCTTGGGCTGAAGGATCTTCCGAGTCTTGCCGATGGTCTGAGCCTGGAGATTATAGAGGACCTTCTCCAGCGCCTCATGCGAGAAGTCCTTCTGCTTGATCAGCTCGGACACCATATCCTTCACCTTCTCGGGTTCCAGCAACTTCACATAACCAGTCACGTACTCGAGTGGCTCGTCCTTCCCTGGTACTCGTACTCCTCGGAGGTTTCGGTGGCTCTCCTCACTGTCTTCCTCCCCGGAGTTTTCGCCATGGTCTCCTCTCGGTCGGGTCCCGTCGACTCGCCCTCGATCAGAATGGTATGTGGGGACAGAGGAGACTCCTCTTCCCCGGGGGTGATTGCCGCCTGCTCGGGTTCCTCGGTGGCCTCCTTGAGGTAGCCCTTCGCCTTGGGAGGCATCTTGCTCTTGGCCTTCGGGACTCCTTGGCGAAGACGACGAACATGTTCGAGCTGGCGAAGCGCTGAGTTTTCCGCGGCTTGCAGTGAAATGTCTCTGTTCACAGGGAACTCCTCCGTGTCGTTCGGAAGGGTGGCCAATACCTCCTTCGTATCCGCTCCAAGCGGTCCGGAGGCCCTCTTCATCGCGTGACACCCTGCTCGGGGAGTGTACTTCAGTCGAAGCTTGCAGTTGGCACATCCTTCCCAAGCCGCGTATTGATTGGATCCCGTCGGTGATCCCTTGTAGGACTTGGCCACCACATGGTTGCCCCAGCATGGCGCTCCCGAGGTCCTCGGATCCCTCGGGTCCGGCCCTTCCTCCCGGTGGTGGTCCAAAGGAGGGGCCTGTTTCAACTTGGTAGCTGCCTTCTTGTTCCCCTGCGCCGAGCTGGCGTCTGACGTGGGAGCCGAGATGGTTGCCGACGATGGCGGCATGATAGGCAGCGAGGGTGCGCAGAACCGAAAGTGATTTCATTGAATCCCCTTCTTGAGCGTTCACTGCGGGCACCGGAGAAGATGTTGTCAACACGTCGACACTCTCGTGGGGGGCTTCAGCTTCGGGGACATGGTTCTCATTCACAGTGTGAGCGCATTCTCCTGCAATCTGATCCGGCACTGAATCACACTCTCTCTCGGCATCCGACTTTATCATTTTCGTCACCATGTAGGCGGGGCTTGGAGTCTCTGCGGCTGCTTCCTCCACATCGGTGGTATGCAGAATTGCAGGTGGAACATTGTCCAGTCGGAAACCTTGGCTAAGCAGGTCCTCAGTCAAATTCAGGAGAAGATGTCCCGCCTTGCTCCGCCTCAAAGGAATGCCGAGGGAAGGATCCACTGCACTAAAGACTGCTACGCAACGCTCAAAGTCTATCACAGTCTTCAGCCTGCGAAGGGTGCGAATGCCTACCAACACAGGAACTCCCACCACATCAAGAGTGTAAATTCCCAAGTGGATGTTCACATCGCCCACAGTCTGAGGAATCAGCAGGTAAGAGGCCGAGTAGCCGTGCTCGCCGTTCCCAAACTTGAACCTTTTCGGGGGTGTGTCCACCACCTTGACCTCATTGCATCCACCAGCCTTAACACGGGCGCCCATGAGAGCTTCCAGAGCCGGAAGGGAGCCAACGGTCTCCGTGGCGCCGCTGTCGATAACGCCATAGCCCGCCATCTCGTTCTCAACCTCCTTGGTCTGGAGCAGGATCGCCTCGTGCTCTTCGGCTTCATCTTCTGGATCTCGGAGGTCCTGGACCATAAAGACATTCGACATGCCCTGCAGGTAAGTCACGTGGCCGGTCTTGGTACCTCCCTTGGATCCCTTGCCCTGCGTTCTTCGAGGGCAATGCCTGAAGTCGTGGTTCTTGTCCCCACAGATAAAGCACCCGGAGTAGTTGGTTTGACCCACTGCAGCCATCGCCATCGGAGGGCGCGGATCCGGTGGTAGCTCATCATGTAAAAAGGTGGGTGCCGCCGAGGAGGCTGCCATTGACGAGGGAGGCCTGTGAAACTTCCCTTTTCCCTTTGACTTGCCCTTGCCTTTCGAGCCCTTGTGCTGAGGACTAAACGGGTAGAAACCTCTGGAAAGATTTCGAGCTCGGACGGCTTGTCTGGCCTGAAGGAAAGTTCGAGCCTTACCCTCAGCGACAGCAAAAGCTTCATCAACTTCGCGCTGCTCCTCTGGTGTCAAGCTCTCCAAGCCCTCCCAAGCGGCCCAAGAAGTATGCCAAGGCTCGGAGTACGAAGGAGAGGACTCGTCCTCCCACCAGTCGGTGATTCCCTCGGACATCCATGCGTCTGCGGGAGAAAGTGAATTGTCAGGATATACTTCAGGCGGAAGTCTCTGACCAACATACATCAGATGTGACGTCTCGAGGATATCGCCCATGTCGGCCTCGTCCGTCATCAAGAGGGACCAATGGCCTTCTTCTTCCACCCAAAAGGTACGTCGCCTGCTGTCTCCTTTACCATGGCCTTTCATCGCTTCGTTTCCCACCAACTCCTCTTCCATGGACCTCATCGCCTTCTCCACCGCCTCAAACTTCAAGCTGTTCCCAGCCGCAGCCTGGATCGCCAAACGGGCGGCATTCGGCAGCTGGGCCCGGCGCAGCAGTAGCCATCCGAGGAGCTCGCTCGGGAGGACGTCGGGAAGATGTTCTTCTTCTTGATCCCACAGCTTCACATCTTCCAAGGCTTTCTCTGAGTTATCACTCTCTGAGTCCTTACGTTTCTTCGGCCTCCGAGCAGAAGGAGTGCTGGGGTCTCGGCCCAACTCCTCATCGTCATTCTCATCTGGTCCTACAGTCGCCGTCTCCTCGTCGTGCTCGGGGGCCGCCGCCTCCTCTGCATGCGGTTCCTCTTCAGTCTGCTGGCTTCCCCGTCTCGCAGAAGGTGTCGAAGGAGACGAGGACAAACGATGCGCCGTCAAAGTTCCGGTCGGAGGATCGTCACGAACTCGTACCAGAGCTTGCTGTAGTAATCGGTATTGATGGCGGATGTGTGATGCCCAAGTGGACATCGCCTGTCCTGGTTGGCGACGGGCTCGAATCATGAGACATTCAAGTCGGTGACCTATATCTGGAATGGGGGTTCTACCAAGTCGTTCTTTGAGAAAGGTCAGCAGGTATAGGGTGCCGTCACGCCGCACGAGCCTTCGATGATCAATGTCTTGTGTAATTGTCCAAGCCCGGGATGATAATTGGGCTACTATAGAAGGAGCCAATAAGTGTCTTCGCTTACGGGGTGTGCGCTCGAACAGAAGTCGTACACGTCTGGTGAAGTCGGGCCAAGTGGCCCCATCGCCATCCCAGCTACATTTCACATACTCATCACTCTTGTACGCCTCCATCGTTGCTCAGAAAATCCCGAACCGTTGCAATCACAAAACCGGCAGCGCTCAACTTGCGGTTGTCGGGGCACCTCCCGCCTGCAGGAAGAAGAGGAGAAGGGTGATGGCCACTAAGTCGCGGAAGTCGTGCACAGGTCTCGCGAGAGGCTCACTGACCCAAAGGAGCACAGATCGTGCTCCGCTACCAACGTCAGTTGATAGCTGCAAAAGCTG